TATTTTTATTAATAGAATGTTTTTTATTTGGGGTTTGTGCGGATGTTTCCTTATGATCAGATTCCGGCTAGACATTCAGATTATGCAGGCCAGAATAAGAGAGGCAGTATATTCAGACAAACCAAGAAACTCTGGAGAATAAACGAGGGTGCTATCTGTACTTGTGGGGAGATAAAGGCAAGGCATAAGCGTGGATCATCTTGGGTGAACTGAAATGTATGATGATCCTCTTCATGTAAGTGATTATTCCCATTTTCCGGTGTCCCTGCTGGAACCTGATTGGTTAAGTCACTTGCCAAAGTGGTGGGGCCAAAACCTAACAGCTACTTAGGCTGCTTGTGGCTGACCAGAAGTGCCCTGTGATCAGCCCTTGGGCCCTAGGAGTGGCGGGTAAATCTCCAGCTCTTTCACCCTTGGGTGGGGGTGGCTCTAAGGTGCCTATTCTGAGCTGCATTTTCCCAGTAAGGGTGACTTGCTTATTATCACAAAGTGTGCTTTGTCTTCCCCATCTCCCGCCTACCTCCCTGCGGGTGCTTCCTGAGATCACCTTCCAGATAAACTACTTGCACTTTAACTCTTATTTCAAGTCTGCTTTGGGGGAACCCAAACTAAAATGACCAGTAGAGGGTAAATCCAGCTGTCGATTAGTACTCGTTGTCATATTTTATGGCTAGTTAAAAAACAGGATTCAAGAGCAGGTCACAAAGTCACAAACTAGCCAGGGGTCCCACAGAAGAAGCTAACTACATCAGCTTAGTTTCTTTTCTCCTGTGAGATGAAAACCCAATTATAGTAAAATTCCAGTAAGAAATATTTACACTTTTAATAGCAACAGCAGAGGGGAGCAGGATATCACGATAGTACCCTCGCCCTGGTACAGGGCAGTGCAAATTATACAAATCTAGGGAATCTATATTTTGGGGAAAAGTACTAACTCTCAAAAACAAAAATCTAGGTGAGAAAGAGATTTAAATATCCTATGCTGTAACAAGTAAAATTTCGTTCTGAAATGGGTCTTAGTCTGATGATCAATGGCTTGGGTTTGAGTTACCTTGGACTGTACGACTTTGGTCTGTGCTCAAACCAAAAGCCAGTCAGTCAACATTCCAAATTCAGTATCTGGTGATCTTTTTTTTTTTTTTCAATTTTTTTAAATGTTTGTTTATTTTTGAGAGACAGAGACAGAGCATGAGTGAGGGAGGAGCAGAGAGAAAGGGAGACACAGAATCTGAAGCAGGCTCCAGGCTCTGAGCTGTCAGCCTGACACGGGGCTGAAACTCACAGTGAGATCATGACCTGAACCGAAGCCGGATGCTTAACCGACTGAGCCACCCAGGTGCCCCTCTGGTGATCTTTTCGTCTGAAGTCACTCAGTTTCTCCACAGAATTTCCTCCTGCCCCGGGGAAATACATGCCAGGTGACCAGCATCCTAGAAGAGAAGTGATGTGGTAAATGGAAATGGGGATCATACAGCTCAACTTTTGTGATGTATCTCTTTCCTTAACTCCTTTGTTTCAGTATGGTTTCATCCTATCCTTAGCTGTGTTTGGTGACCTTGAACTCATGACCTGTCTTGTTCAGTTTCACCTAGCCTTGCCAGGCTGTGCAGGAATGAGATAGGATCTGAAATTCTAACTGCTTCTTATGCCTGGGGCTAACCCTCTGGTTTTTTAGCTCTATGCTTTACTCCTACCTTCTGTCTTATCTGGTACATCCATATACTTAAAAAAATTTTTTTGTTTTACTGTTTATTTTTGAGAGAGACAGACAGAGCATGAGTGGGGGAGGGGCAGAGAAAGAGGGAGACACAGAATCTGAAGCAGGCTCCAAGCTCTGAGCCGTTAGCACAGAGCCTGATGCAGGGTTCATGAGCTGTGAGATCATGAACTGAGCTGAAGTTGGATGCTTAACCAATTGAGCCACCCAAGCGCCCCTGGTACATCCACTTTCTAAGCTTCTCTGTGACCTTTTTGCATGAACCACCTTGTTTTCCGTTCCCAGTACCCTCTGTGGCAGGTAGGTGTCAGCTTGCTTCACTCCACTAAGTCAGTTGCCACTAATCTCTCAGTTCAGCATTCCAAAAATTTGTTGGTACATCTTGTCTACTGTGATCTTTTCTTCCTTATTTTTGTGGAGTTTTCATCTAAAAATAAATTCTTTGCTGCCATTTTTGGTAGGGCTTGGGAGAAGGAGTGGCGATGATGCCCACATACAATCCATTGCAACTTACGGGAAGCCCGGCCCTTCCTTCGAAGTTTCCTTTTTTGGCTCTCCTCAGTTCAGCCTCACCATGCTCACGGAATCATGGGGCTCACTTTACTGCACCTCACTCCAGTTGTTCTCACACCTTGTTTATACCATTCTGCCTGAAATTCTAACTTCTCATCAACTTTCTGCTTTAGGTACAACCACAGCATTTTGAGAAGATCTCTATTTTAGAACTTATCCCAGATTTCCTGGTGTTTTAATTAGTTGGGGAGCAATTTGTCTCCCTGCACCTTGAGGGTAGGAAGGGACTTGACCTTATTCAATATTTATCTCCCTGAGACGATGCGTTGTGAGTAAATATTTTCTTAGTGTTTGTGCCACTGGATTACACTGAAATATTTTTTTCCCTTTGTTATGTTTCTGGGGTATCTGTTTCTTCAAATGGAGTTACTGTGTGTGGTAGACTGGGTTGCTGGTCCCAGTTCTTGACTGCAGTGTGACAGTTACACACCCACACTCTTGCCTGACCCGGGGGGCAGGGAGGGGGTGGGTCATGCCTCTTCCCTGCCTCTGGACTTTGACTGTGGCCATGTGGTTTGCTTTGATGAAAGGGGTGTTAATGGACAGGATGCAAACAAAGGCTTGGAATGAGATTGTGTGGCTGGGCTTGCTCTTGCCCTGTCATTGCTAGTTATAGGAGGATGAGAGACATTTGGAGCACAGCTACCCTATCAGATCGAAAGATCTGCAGCTTGAAGGAGAGCTATCCAGCTGACCTGCAGACCTGGGAGCGTAGCACTGAATATTTTTTCTTGCATGCCACTTAGTTTTGGGGTCAGTTTGTTCTGTAGCAATATTTAAGTGATACCTGATGTCAGAGGGAAGGAGTGCTTTTATATCCTTTCTTTGTTCTGTGCTGGTTTTGCTCTCTAGGAAGCCGGAAACCAATTTACCATGCCATCAGCATGATCCACGCGTATCTACCAAAAATACTCATGTGGCTCTCCTTGATTTGATCATAACATCTATTTTTAAATGGCTTAAGAAAAGAAACTAGAACAATAACCACACCACCACCACAATTTTGGACCTTATATTAGAGTCATTTCAAACTGAATTCATTCCATTATCTTACAGTCTTTTTGGAGAAATAACCCATCAAAGATGTGTCCTTTTCTTGAACTTTGGTAACTATAACTTTGATTTGTAGTATAATTATGTGCAATCCATACAGTTGTTAATTATACGGTACTGCTAATCTGAAACCTTATTTTTAGGAAAACAACCTTGTGATAATGAATTTTAAATTGAAGACTTGGGGCACCTGGGTGGCTCAGTCCATGGTTATAGTGCTCCGCTCTTGATTTTGGCTCAGGTCATGATCTCACGGTTTGGGAGTTTAAGCCTGGCATTGAGCTTTGTGCTGTTAGGGTACAGCCTGCATGTGGTGCTGTCTCCCTTGCCCTCTTCCTTATCCTGCTTGTTCTCTCTCTTTCTCTCAAAATAAATAAAAATAAACTTAAAAAAATAATAAATTGGAGGGCACCTGGGTGGCTCAGTCGGTTAAGCAACTGACTTTGGCTAAAGTCATGATTCACGATTCATATGTTCATTCGGGTCCTGCATCAGGTTAGTCCAGCCTACCTCCGGTGAACAGGAGCCCCCCCCCCCACCCCCCGCTTTGTTTTAAAAAAACCAGGAGCCCCACTTCGGGTTAGCCCTATTTCTCTTTCTCTCTCTCTCTCTCTGCACCTCTCTCACTGCGCCCCCTCTCTGTCAAAAAAAAATAAATATAAAAAAATAAATTGGAGACATGTCAAAATATTCATTATGTAGGCACATTCTTAGCAAGTGCTATTAGTTTCCTTCAACACTCACAATTTACTTTTAAATTTGTTAAAGCCTAGCTTTGTTATTTCCACAATACAGATTAAAATTAAACATAGTGGCAAAAAAACTTCTTTTTATTCTCTAAATGAGAGTTGGCCAATTAAATCTTTTAGGCTGCAATGATTTTTTCTTTAGTTCAAAGAATCAATTATGCCAATATCCTGATGGAACTCTGCTTGCTTCTACTCCGGAAAGGATGGCAGAATCCACGAGAGCAAGGAGAACGTTAGAATGATAACCGTGCATCTGTTTTCTTAAGTTGCACAAAGAATGTTTTCCTCACGCAGATGCACAAGTATTAGTAAGAACTTGCTTGCCGCACACATCACAATTTTCTGAGCTGGGCCATTATTTTGCATCCTTGCTTAAGACCCCTAACGTAATGAGGGTTCCTAAGTGTCATGTTGTAATTATGCAAAAGAATTGCTTACGTGATCAGAAAAAAAACATGGTATTGTTGAAAAGGTCTGTAATTGAGAGTTTGACCGAAAAAGAGGAGACAAAGCGAGGGGTCCGTGGGCCTTTGAGCTAGTCCAAGTTTAACAAGCTCCCTCGGGCTTCCTTCACAATTCCCAGAGGAAGCAGGCATGCCTCCATTGTGCTCCTGACCCTGCATTCAGTCACAGAGCAACGGGCTTTAACAATCAACGAACAAAAACCTCATTGCCCCGTGTAACCTTCCAACCCCCAGAGCTGCATGGTCCGCTAATCCGGCGCACAAAGGCAGGCCTGCTGCTCTTTTATTCTCCCGGAGGCTGGGCACCGCGTCCAGCTCAACAGCTGACCAGCTCTGGAACGTCCCAGCAGCTTGCCGGGCCCCCCCGATGTTTATTTAGCGGCCCGCCGCCTGGGCGCACAGCCTCCCCGAGCCTGTTCGCGCGCGCTCCCCGGCACCGGAGCCATGTACCGGCGCAGCTATGTCTTCCAGACCCGCAAGGAGCAGTACGAGCGCGCCGAGGAGGCGCCGCGCGCCGCCGAGCCCAACAGCCTGGCGGAGGGCCGGGCGGCGGCGCCCAGCCTGGCCGCGCTGCAGGGGCTCGGCGAGCGCGTGGCCGCCCACGTCCAGCGGGCCCGCGCGCTCGAACAGCGCCACGCCGTGCTCCGGAGGCAGCTGGACGCCTTCCAGCGCCTGGGCGAGCTGGCCGGCCCCGAGGACGCCCTCGCCCGCCACGTCGAGAGCAACCTCCAGCGCACCCGGGACCTGGCGGCCGAGCGCACGCGGCTGGAGCGCCAGGGAGCAGAGGCGCAGCGCGTTCTCGACGAGTTCCGCTGCAAGTAAGGGGCGGGCGCGGCAGAGGGGTTGGGGGAGCGGAGGCAGGGCGTGGGCTGTCGCCTGGCGACCCAGGACTTCAGCCCCGCAGAGGGCGCGCGCACCACGGTGCCTCTCCCTCACCTAGGACCCTCTTCCATTCCGACGGCACTACAAGCTTTGCATGAAACGGTATCATTTGCTTGTAATGTGCTTTAACATTTAGGTATAATTTACATGCAGTAAAACGCACAGGTTTTGGGTCGCTTGGCAGGCTCAGTCGGTAGAGCCAGCGACTCGATCTCCGGGTTGTAAATTTGAGCCCCACGTTGGGCGTGGAGATTACTTAAAAATAAAGTCTTTAAAAAATGCACAGGTTTTAAGTGCATGGTTCAGTGAGTTTTGATAATGTATGTACCCATGTATCTTACGCAGACAAGCAGGGAATTTTCACCACCCCAGAAAGTTCCCTCCTGCCCTTTCCTGGTCAGTCTGTACCCCTCCTCCACAAAAACCCCGGAGGTGCCCAGTCTTCTGATTGCTGTCACCGTAGATTAATTTTGCGTGTTCTGGAATTTCACAAAAATGGAATCTTACAGATTCGTGCTTATATGTCTGGCTCCTTTTGCTCAGCACAAGTGTTTTTGAGATACATTCATGTTATTTGATCCTCACAGCCTTACCCTGTTAATAGATGGTACTGCACCTGTTTTGCAGATGATGGGACTGAGGCTTAGACAATGTCAAGATTTAGGGCAAGATCACTCAGCTAGTGAATCCCAGCACCGGACGGAGTTCAGGTCCTCTGCATGCTAAGTCTAAGCATTACCACATCGTAGCTGATACCTGGAGATTATTTCAATGTGTGTTCTCTAGAGTCTTGCTACTCAGATTGTGGCTTGTGGATGGACAGCATTGCCATCACCCAGGAGCTGGTTAGAAGTGGAGTTAAGCTTCAAGCTTCAGAAGCCAGGGTCCAAGGCATGTCTGCCTTTCCTATAGAATGAATATGGTGATAAGATCGCCTGAAGAATGGGGCATGCACACCTGGGTGGCTCAGTCAGTTAAGTGTCTGACTCTTGATTTCAGCTCAGGTTATGATGTAAGTTAGAACTGACTGCACAGTCTGCTTGGGATTCTCTGTCTCCCTCTCTCTCTACACCTCCCCGACTTGCTCTCTGTCTCTCTCGCAAAATAAATAAACTTAAAAAAAAAAAAAAAAGAATTGGGGCACCTGAGTGGCTCAGTCAGTTGTGTGTGGGACTTCAGCTCTGGTCATGATCTCACGGTTTGTGAATTCAAGCCCCACACCAGGCTTGCTGCTGTAGGCGTAGAGCCTGCTTCAGATCCTGCGTCCCTCGTTCTCTGCCCCGCCTTGGCTTGCACTCTCTCAAAAATAAATAAATAATCACAAGACATTTTTAAAAAGATCACCTGAAGAACTATTAAAAAGAAAAAAGGATGCTCAGCAATTTGTCACCATCTTCCCAGGCTATAAATACAGGGACCTGTATTTACTCTGCAGGGACCACTTCAAGGAATTTATTTTTTGATGCTCCAGCAGGTGTAAAATGGCATGCCAATGTGGCAGTGTGATCTGCAATACAAAAGCCTGGAATGAAATTAAATGCCTATTCATAGGCGAGCAAATTGTGCTTCATTTATGCAATGGAATGCTACCCAATGGTAGAAAAGGGAATAGCATGTTACTATTGTTTATTTTTTTATATTAAAAACATTTTTTTTTACTGTTTTATTTATTTGTGTGTGAGAGAGAGACAGCATGAGCAGGGGAGGGTTAGAGAGAGAGGGAGACACAGAATCTGAAACAGGCTCCAGGCTCTGAGCTGTCAGCACAGAGCCCAACATGGGGCTCGAACCCACGAACCGTGAGATCATGACCTGAACCGAAGGGAGATGCTTAACCGACTGAGCTACCCAGGCACCCCACTATCATTTACTTTAAAAAGAAAGGAGAGAAGAGTAAAATTTTTTGTTTGCATTAGGAAAAAGGGGGCACAAACAGACACAGGCCAAAACCCCATGACGCTGATTACATGTGGAGGATATGGGAGTAGGAGCTGGACAACAGGAGAGAGAGGGAGGCTTTTAATGGAACAGCTTTCTATGTAATTAAAAAAAATTGTCTAGCCGTGTAAGAGATTTACCCATTTAAAAATTATAAATTTATTTAAATATACAGATTCCAGGCCCTACCCTCGACCTCAGATGGGGCCCAGGAATTTTAAGTTTTATGAGCTCCACTGATAATTCCAGTGAACAGCCAGGTTTGGGGACCCCTGGCCTAGGGTAGTCAGTGGGTCTTCTCCAAACATGCTCTATGTTTGAGTTCCATGTTCTTTTTTTTTTTTTTTTTAATGTGGGTTTTTTTAAATATTTATTTTTGAGAGAGAGAGATAGAACACAAGCAGGGGAGGGACATAGACATTGGGAGGCACAGAATCCGAAGCAGGCTCCAGGTTCTGAGCTGTCAACACGGAGCCCAACGCGGGGCTCAAACTCACGAACTGTGAGATCATGACCTGAGCGTAATTCAGACGCTTAACTGACTGAGCCACCCAGGTGCCCCTGAGTTCCACGTTCTTAATCTGAATCTTGGGCAGGTTATTCAACAGTGTGTACTGAACGTATTTATCAGATCATACTCATTGGTTTCATTCCTATCTGTCCTGTTTCTGGGTTTGAGCCCTAAAAACAGATTTGGAGCTGGAAGAAGGGATCTGGAAATCCACCTGTTACAGCCCTTCCTGGGAAAACTGTGGGTGGCAGGAGACTTGAACTTGGATTTTCTCACCTTATGCTTTCTAGAACAGTATTTTGAAGAGAAGCTGTTCTTGGATTCCTGGGGAGTGAGGCTCAGAGATAAGACCGTCATTCAAATGAAGCTCATGTTTTCTAAAGCAAAGGGAAGTATACACTGTTTTAGACACCCAGAGCAGCTCCATGAGCTGACAGTAAATCCTGGATCCCCAAATGGTCTTGGTTACCAGGCCCCAGTCTACTGAGATTTGGCTGGACGAACATGACTCCTTTGAGCCCTCATTGAAGAAATGGCTGTGTTGAGTTTTCCTGTCTTTTGGTGATTTTACTTGGTTCTGAATTATACGTTTATCGTGGAGCTGTCCCTTCAGGCTCTGTGATTTATTTAATAATTTTCATTAATTTATTCCTTCCCATTGTCCCCTTGCAGATACTTTGATATTCCAATTGAGGTATTGGGATTTGAAAATTATAATAAAAATCATACCTATTTTCATGCAGGGGTGCATACACACCAAATTTGGTTTTACATCCCAGGGGTGAGTTATTGGTTAGCCAAAGCCAGGTGAAAATAATCCAGCCTTGGTAGGCATATTCTCTTCTTGGATAGTTGAATAATTTCAAAATCAGGTTTTTGGCACATCAAACAAAGACTAAATAAAACAGATGAAATAAAAACAAAACTACCCAAATACATTAATGAATACCATCAATTGTCCGGATTGCTAACAACCAAAAATAATTATGTGAAACAATCAGATAATTGAAGCCAATGTGTTCTTTATGAATTCATTTGTATATTCACTTATGTGAATATGTATACAAATATATCATTATTTCTTTGTTAAAACTTTTTTTTTTTAAAGTTTATTTATATATTTTGAGAGAAAGAGCAGAAGGGGCAGAGAAAGAATCCCAAATAGGTTCTGCACTGCCAGTGGCAGAGCCTGATAAGGGGTTCAAACTCACAAACTGTGAAATTATGAATTGAGCTGAAACCAAGAGTCAGATGCTTAACTGACTAAACCACCCAGGTACCCCATATTATGATTTCTTATTATGAAGTCTTTATAATGAAATCACTTGTCTTTATTTTATTTTATTTTTTTAACCATTGAATGTGGATTTTTTTTTAACAGTTTATTGTCAAGTTGGTTTCCATATAATACCCAGTGCTCATCCCCACAAGTGCCCTCCTCCATACCCATCTCCTCCTCCCCCCTTACACCCATCAGTTCTCAGTTTGTTCTCAGCATTCAAGAGTCTCTCATGCTTTGCCTCTCTCCCTCTCCCCCACTATTTCCCCCCTTCTTCTCCCCCACGGTCCTCCATTAAGTTCCTCCTAATCCTCCTATACGTGCAAACATATGGTAGCTGTCCTTCTCTGCCTGACTTATTTTGCTCAGCATAACACCTTCAAGGTCCATCCATATTGCTACACATGGCCAGATTTCATTGTTTCTCATTGCCATATAGTATTCCATGGTATAGATAAACCACATCTTCTTGATCCATTCGTCCGTTGATGGACACTTAGGCTCTTTCCATGTTTTGGCTATTGTTGAGAGTGCTGCTATGAACATTGGGGTACATGTGCTCCTATGCATTAGCATTCCTATATCCCTTGGGTAAATTCCTAGCAGAAATCACTTGTCTTTAATATCTAGACTTGTCTTTACAGCATGAAAATCACCCACAATAACACATTATTGCATTATTTATCAAACATGTTTTTAAGCAACAGAAATTCTTGGATGTTTCTAGCAGGAAAGGCCAATGAGAAAATTTGGATTTTGCTAACAATTTTATTTTCAAAGCTAACTAGCAATTAGAAAATAATTTCTGGCCCCATTAGAGCCACACACAAAAGACACTGATAAATGCGACATCCTGGTGGGAAATGTAAAATTTGTACAAAGATGTTTTGCTTGCTGGTTATAGCTGAGCTTTTTTGGTGGTTTAGAACTGGGAGTGTGCACAGTACACATATTCCTAATTGTTCTTTCCTGAAGTTAGGACTCTCCCTACAGCAGCATGGTTTTCTAGAGGCCTCTTTCAATACTTGAGCCCGTGACATGCGTGTGCAACGGCTCTGAAAACTATGCTTTGTGGGTTGGGCTGAGTGTTAATTAGGATTCGTTTCAACCACAAATGGCAGAAACTCCAAAGTGGCATTGGCTTATCCAGGATGGAAATTTGTTTCTCTCTTGTGTAAGGTCTTGCCTAGCAATTCAGCATGCCATTCTACAATATTTGAGGCTCAGAAGGCTCTGCCTGGCCTTTGGGGAAGGAGCATCTATGTTTTAGGTGCAGGATGGAGGAAAGGATGCAGAAGGACACACCCACAGCATCTCTTATCATTGAAGCTGCCACAGACTTATGCTTGTATCTCATTGGTCAAGACTTAGTCACATGGCCACACCTAGCTGGAAGGAAGGCTGGGAAATATAGTCTTCCCTCTAGGCAGCCCTGTGCCCACCCAACAGCAAGGGCTTTGACTCCTGGAAGAAGGCCAGGATGGATATTGGGGGCACCTTGCAGGGAAGGAGGGGAGAGTCATTTGGGAAGGAGCCTTCTCTCTTAAGAGGAAGAGAATCCCTCTTCAGGGAAACTCTCTAAACAGAATGATTTCTGGGGTCTCTCTGCCTCCTGATCTCTATCATTTTCTACAGTCCAGGGAAGAAGATGACTAGGAGGGGAAAACACACCTGTTCCTAGTATCCATTGCTTTATCAATTTTGTGTGTATTCAAATTTGGAGGGGGGGGGGCGGTTTCCCTGCTCTTCCCAGGTAGCATGGTGTGGCTATTGGGGCATAATTTTCGATGTCAGATTCAAGTGTGAGTCGTGACCCTACCCCTCTTTTAGTTGGGAGTCTTCCAGAAGCTGAGTCTGATAAAGGGGTTTGAGAGTAAGTAGCTTATTTGGGAGGTGACCTCATAGGTTGGGGAGTGAGGAAGTGAGGCAGGAAGGAAAAGCAGAGAACACTGAGTGCATTCAGCAGATTAACCTGGAGCTAACCTACTAGATGGAGAAACACTTTAGTTGTCCTAGCTGAGGGCAAGGGGGCTGGGGTATTTATGTACTCACTCACCTTCTGTCAGAGGTCAAGGGCTGCCTCAGGGGCCCTGACTCTCTGGCCCGTCCAGCCTGCCCTGCCTAGTGGCCAAGAGCAGGCCTTGAGGGCACAGAGATGAGGGTGAAGTGTGCCTGAGGTCATGGGACAGTTTCTCAGCCTTTTTTCTCATTTCCCCCACGAGGGCAATGATAACTGCTCTCTTCCAGAGTTTTGTAAGGATTAAATGGCATAATCCAGAAAAACTGACACATGTAGATAGATACAATAGCATAGGAAACCCAAACAAGGTCAAGGTCAGGTTAATGGTAGGTCATGTGGGGCGGGTCTCCCATTTTCAGTGTCACCGCTCTACTTGGGTTAGGAGTGTGTGGAGATATGATTCCCTTATCCTTGAGGTGGCTGGACAGGGGTGGGAGGTAGGGGTGGAGGTTGGGCCTCCAGGCTGGGGGACTCCTGTTGATTTACCGTTCCCAGTTGCCCCTGTATATGGTGGCCACAGCACCACTCTGTGCATGCTGTGGAAGCGGCAGGCTCAGCAATGCAGCACCAGCTACTTTTTTAAACTTAAGAGTTTCTCCTGAAAGAGACAGCATAGTACCCTGTAACACTGATTGTGTGGTCATTACATGTGGAATCATGGAAGCTGCCCTACTTTTGCTTGTGTCCAATTTGCAGGTATGAAAACGAGTGTGAATGTCAGCTGCTCCTAAAAGAAATGCTGGAACGGCTTAACAAGGTGAGCTGAGCACGTCTGTGAGTCGGAATAGGGACAGAATGGAACTAAATGGCTGAAGTGACCATCACACCCTTCCTCTCTGTATCCCTTTAGGATTCACCTATTTCATTTGCTGTCACTCTCTTTCTTCAGTTCATAATTTCAACTAAATCTTTGTGCGAACTCACATACCCAAGACACACACTTCTCTCCCACCACACACAGGGTCTCGCCAGAGAACCTGAGACCATTAAGCTTATGGGTTGCGCTAGGCTGTCAAAACGTGGCTGCATCACAGTGGCCAGCTGGGGCTTTGCCATTCACATGTACTGGTCCCAAACATCAAACTCAGGGAACTTGCTTTGGGCAGTGGTTATTGGGATGCAAGGATATCTCTACTCTGTTGGCTGAGAATCTCTTCTGCAGGAGAACTCTCAGAGGACAGAGGAAGAAGTTTCCATTTCCCTTCAAGCTCTCGCCTCTTGGAGCCTGGAAAGTAGCTATGTGGAGGGCACCACGGATTCTCAGCTTCTTGCTGGGGACCCTTTTGCAGGGTTGTGAGGGATTTTTCTTTGCAGGGAGTTTTCTTCTTCAGAACCTCCATCATCAATGTAACTGATTGGATTTTCTTCTGTAGCCAGGGGAACGGGACTACAGAATGGAATAATCCTGGATCTCAGAGGTTGGACAAAACCAGGGATGGCAAATACCTGTAATTTCAGAGTTCAAATGTCTTGAGTGGAAAGACTCATGGAGACTGTTTAACTGAAGGGTTGCTTATTTAGGGTACATGGCCGCTTTCCCCCTTTCCCTCCCTTCTACACCTATAATTCCTCATCACAATTGCTGATAAAACACAGCACCTTTCCCTGCTGTGCCCAGATGTGTGGCCTTAGGATTCTTCTCCACCTGGAGTTCCAGGCAGTGGAACTCAGATAGTTGAGGTTAGCTCAGGATGTTTGCCAGTCCCTGGCTTTGTCCAACCTCTGTTGTCCAGGATTAGTCTGTTAATCAGTAGGAGTTAGAACCACAACCTAGGGAAACTGAATTTTTCTTTGTCTATGTTATCTACCCCGTGATGCTTCTGTGCCCTTCCCTTAGTGAGCATATATTGTCCAAACCAGGACACTGTGTGAAAGGAGGTGCTGTCAATATTACCAAGGCCAAACGATAGAAACTGGAGTAGTCTCAGGCCAGCCAACCTGTAACACTCTAGATATAAACACAAAGGTGGGGGTGATGGTGTGCTTCAGGAGAGCCCTACATGCACAGGCTCAATGATGGGTCTTGTATTGGGTTGGGTTGTGATGGCCCCACATCCGTAGAGGGTGGCATTTGGGTGTTAGCATCAGACATTGCCCAGCTGTTCTGTTGATACTTGGAGCTCATCTGCATTCTTGATTTTGGTGGTAATCCCAGGCTGCCAGCTGGGGCCACCATCTTGTCCACAGACCACTGCCTTCAGGGACATAGGTGCCTGACACCCTTCACTTATATGCCAATACAGCCCCTCCCTAACCCACCACATTTTGCTTTTTGCGTATTTGTCCTCACTGCAAGCAGAGCTCTCTCCAGACTTATTTCTGAGGTTGTCACTCATACAATGTGATCGTGTGCACTCTTCATAGAAGGAGACAGAATGCATTCCCTCTTTTTAGCTTTGGTGGAAAGTAACACCAGAGATTTATTTATTTATTTAAAAAAATTTTAAGCTTATTTATTTTCAGAGAGAGAGAGAGTGAATAGAGGAGGGGCAGAGAAGAGGGAGAGAGAGAATCCCACACATCTCTGCATCATCAGCGTGGAGCCCTACATGAGGCTCCAGCTCATGGTGAGACCATGACCTGAGCCAAAACCAAGAGGTACCCAGGTGTCCCAGTAACACTGAATTTAAGAACAAGCTCCAGCCTTCTGTTGTTTTTCTCTTATTACAAAAGCAGTACATATTCTCAGAAGAAAAACATGGTAGTAGAGACGATGAGAAGTAAGGTAGAGGCCTTCCCCTGTTTCGTCCCCCTGAGAACACAGCTGCAACACCTTTGTGTATACTGTGACAGAGAGTGTGGACAGTTGGGGTATGAGTCCCATTGAAGTATGGGGTTCGAAGGCTCTGGGGAAAGATGCTACCAGCAGCTTGGGCCAGAGCCATCACAGGGCATCAGTGTGACTCTTCCTGGGTCCAGGGAAAGACACTTCTTCCCACAAGTGAGCTGTGCAGTCCAAAACGGGAGAACAGCTTGATCATGGGCTACTGTTGAGTATCTGTGAGACTTTGGGGTAACTGCCTCATCTCCCTAAGCCTCAGCTCCTTCATCTCCCAAGTGGGAGCAGTAATAGTTGCCACCACCATGGAGTGGATGTCTGTCGACCCCCATAGTAGGAACGAAGTGACATGACAGTGTATGTGACTTGCCTGTCATGGTTATTATCACAGATCCCTTGATGTGATGGGTGCCAGCTTAGTTCTCCCAGAGAGTGGGATTCATAACTGATGGTGTGCGGGGTGACTTTAGATGGTGTGTAGAGGAACAAGTTTTGAGTAGCTCAAAATTTATTTTTGTGATCACCTCTTCTCTACAGCTGGTGACATAAAAACGTTCCTTTTTAAATGCATGCAAGTGGAAATGAATCCATTTCAAGAAAAATATGGAGCGACTAATAGTACAGGTGGTGCTCGGATATAGCAGGAATCATAAGCACAGCACACGATGCAGGGATTGGCCAAATCCATGCGTTAGTTTGGAGCTTCTTGTTACTTTTTTTACCCCCAGAAACGACCCAGTCCGACCCCTTTGTTGCCAGCAGGAGGCCCACCCTTGATGAAACTCAGTGACTTAGGAGCCCCACATCCCGTCCTGGGCAAGCGTAGCCAGGAGCCAGGTGTAGTCAGGAGTCTTTTGTGTAGATGTGGCTCATTCCCTGCCTCCAGTCACTGACTCTCAGGAGACATACACTAAGACAGAATCTCTGGGGGAAAGATGGTCCCTTCACATTTGATGTTGATGCTCCGTCCATATTCCCTGGGCTGAGATCACACAGACATGCTGAGCATACTGGCAGCTTCTTGCGTGTCTCTGGCTGTGAGGACGTGCATGATCCACAGGAGGCATAAGCTGGAAGTGTGGGAGTTAGCACCCCCCTGGAGCAGCCCTCGGCCACTGAGGGGTGGGGATGAGTGGATGAGTTCCCCAGCTGCCCCACCCCTTGCAATAAGAGCTCACAGGTGAATTCTGTTGAGTTTCTCCAAGGGTCCCCGGTAGGACTGAGGGCTGCTTGTCCACAATGGTAACTTACTCATACAGCTTTATTGCCTTTGTTCCTTTCCCTGGATCATTTCCTCCCCTCCAGTGCTTCTTGGAATAAACAACATGTACCCAATCCTTGCCTCAGGGAAACTCAGGGGGCTGGCCAGAGGAAGGCTGGACATTCTTGTTCTCTGTCCATGGAGAAGGTGAAAATGCAAGAGTATATTCACATCTTGTTGGCTGGTAATATAAATGATTTGGGCTGACAAAACTTGGAATGTCTACACACATCAGAGCAACATGGTTTTGACTGTCAGCTTAGTCTCAGCACCCCTTTCCTTTGGTATTGTGGAAGGGATTCATTCATCCCTAAGTGTGGCCATGGAAAATGGGGTATGGGAGAAACCATTGATCTGGTCTTTGTTTTTTTGTTTTTTCTTACAAATAGTTTATTGTCAAGTTGGTTTCCATATAACACCCAGTGCTCATCCCCACAAGTGCCCTCCTCCATGCCCATCACCCTCCCCTTCCCCCCACACCCATCAGTCCTCAGTTTGTTCTCAGCATTCAAGAGTCTCTCATGGTTTGCCTCTCTCCCTCTCCCCCACTATTTCCCCCCTTCTTCTCCCCCATGGTCCTCCGTTAAGTTCCTCCTAATCCTCCTAATCCTCCTAATCCTCCTATACATGCAAACATATGGTATTTGTCCTTCTCTGCCTGACTTATTTCGCTCACCATAACACCCTCAAGTTCCATCCATGTTGCCACACGTGGCCAGATTTCATTGTTTCTCATTGCCATGTAGTATTCCATGGTATAGATAAACCACATCTTCTTGATCCATTCGTCCGTTGATGGACACTTAGGCTCTTTCCATGTTTTGGCTATTGTTGAGAGTGCTGCTGTGAATATTGGGGTACATGTGCTCCTATGCATCAGCATTCCTATATCCCTTGGGTAAATTCCTAGCAGTGCTATTGCTGTGACCCGGTCTTTGAACCATGCTTGGAAAATATCACCATGTATGTTGACAAGATTGATTGCTACTGCTTTCACCAGACTGTCATCTGTGACTATTACCCATATAATCGCATCTCCAGAACAGAGTTCCTGTATTTTTAACAGCCACATAAGCTAAAGCAAGCCACTTTTTGCTAGGCACTTTGAAATAAAATAAATTCTTCAACATACCACTTACATACTGTGGCCAAAGGTATTGTGATGTAGTAAGAATTCTTGGTGACTTTTAAATATTTTGGTTTGGCCAAACTTTTTCTTTTGACCCATTTTCTCAGAATTTCTTAGATAAGAAAACTATAAGGAGGCTTTCAGGTTTCTCTCCTATTTTCCTTTAAAATCCTCAGAATTTTAAAATGATGTAGGTTCTAGTCAAATGCTTTCATTTAAAAACAATTCTTTTTTTTTTTTTAATGTTTTATTTATTTCTAGGAGAGAGAGAGAGACAGCGTGAGCAGGGGAGGGTCAGAGAGAGAGGGAGTCACAGACTGAAACAGGCTCCAGGCTCTGAGCTGGCAGTCAGCACAGAGCCCGACGCGGGGCCCGAACCCACGCACCGCGAGATCATGACCTAAGCGAAAGTCGGACACTTACCCGACTAAGCCACCCAGGCGCCCCCCCTAAAAACAATTCTTAAAGAAATACCTAAAGCTGTTATACGTGCTTTTTCATGCAATTTTTGTATCTTTAATATGTCCAGAAAAGGGTAAGAGGCAAGGACATTTGGAGAACAACAAGGTGGGGCTTGATGCCTTTGCC